GGCAGACACGCAACGACTTACCGGCGGCACTGCTGTTCGTCGCAGCGGCAGTGTTTTGCTGCTGCTGATTTTGCTGGTTCTGGTAGCAGGGCGTCACCTACACACACACACCAACACATATGCCACAGACACACAGGGGACGTGTGACGGTGTACTGTATGCCATGTGTACGTTACGTGTGTGAGGAGCATGGTGAGTTCGTTGAAGTCTTTGTCATATTTGTTGGGCTTCAGCCGCAAAATGGACAGACTCGACGAGAAGTGGGCCTCCTGCGACTCATACCTACACACACAAACACACGAAACACACATTTCTCTTATGTGCATCTCTCTCTCTGCGTGTGTTAATGTCGGTGTCTGTACTGACTCTTCTCTGTATGCTTCAGGATCTCTCTTGATCAGGTCCTGCAACAGACGAACACACGCGAAGCACAAGGGTGATGATCTGTTCTCGTGAGTCATTGATTCACATCACCTGAAGCACAGGAAGCGACAGTGGCTTGTTCGTGTCCGCAGAAGCCGCCATTGTTGCCGAAATCTTTCCTCGCAGCACGTCTAAGCTCGCAGGGTTTGGAACCCTGACAAACCCCAACCCTAATGCTTTCGCTTTGGAGGCTTTTTCCCATTGCAGGGGTGCTGGGAGGCCGGGGAATGGTTGCTGGTGTGATGGGCTGTGTGTGTGGTGAGTTTGAGCGGATGGCCTTGCGTGTGTGAGAAGTGGGTATGCTGCAGGGGGGGTATCGATGGGGTGATTGCGGTGAAGTGGTGAGAGGTGCAATTTGGTGGAAAGGACGAATGGCAAACCGATGGGCGTTGGCAGACAGAATCGGTTACGGTAAAGCTCTACAGTCAATACTCATGTCTACACGGCATCGCCAAGTTGGCAAAAAAGCCATGGACACAGAGAGAGAGGGAGAGACAACCGATGAGTGCAGGGGTGAGTGGCTGTCTGTGGGGTGTCGCGTGTGATGCGCACACACACAGACAACACACACAGACAGGCTCAGGCTCGGCCCTTCGGGCGCCTTCGCATGACTAACACACACAGACAGAGTGTGTGTGTGTGTGTGTGCGTGCGTGCGGAGGGGGGGGATGTGTGTGTGTGGGGGGGGGCCTATGAGATGCACCCACACACAGAGAAGACACACCACACAC